GGGGGCCTGCGGTGGCAGCTATCCAGCGCCGGTCTCAGGGGAGTTATTGAAAGGCCCGGCCGGCCTGTGCTTATTGTTTGTGGGTTTTGGTGGGGGGGGGGGGGGGGGGGGGCTGTCCTTTGCTGTTGTCGTCTTGTTGTCTCTTTGGTGTTCAGACGCACCTTTAGAGACTGAGAAGCTCTAGCAATCCGTAAGAAATATGAAGCATCCAAAAAGGGAGGGGTCTTTCCTTTTGGAATAACTGTTGTTCCGCTAAGTTCCATTTATATCGTGTAATGTTACTGGCAGTGACATTTTTATTTTCGCTGATGGTCTAATGGGTTTATCTCTACCCCATAATGCCCATTGCTCTGTAGTCTTCTTCCTCCTTCTCTGCACGCACTTAACACACGGTGGGAAAGTGTGTTGAGGGGGCGGGCCTCTTGGTATGCACACTGAGGCACCAAAGCAGGCCGGCGTAGGGGAGTCACACACCTAAACAGCTGAGGTTACTCTGAGACGGGGGGGGGGTTCATTCCCCGAGGCTTACATAGCCCAGAGTGACGGGGGAGGATGCTGGGATTTCATTGAGCTGTGTAAATAGTGATGGTGCTAGCCGATCTGTCCTGGTGTTTCCTCCGTGTCGGGATCAAATGTCCTTCCTGGATGAAATTCATGGGAAAAGATGGAACACAAAATGCAGGCATTTGGAGTGGAGAGCGAGTCTGTCCATGGTGACGCTGTATGCTGCCTTGATCTGACAGCGTCTCCGCCAGCGCGATCAGCGACACCCCCGACACCGTAAAGGTTACGCTCGTCTTGTTTTCAGAATCAGATTGTGTCATGCTGTTCAGCTCTACGCATGGAAGGGTGTTAAACCTCTCCATAAACAGAAGTGCATGCTGGGAATCGGGGTGTATCGCAGATGGGCCTTTTAACCTGAAGCACTGCTCAGCTGCTGTGTCAGGCCGCATTAGCATGCGTACACTAATGCGATCACGCAATTGGTCGGGCCCAGGGATGCAGCTAGATGTTCTGGGCCTCCTGACAAAATGGCACCCCCCAAATCTGCCAGGGTATCCATGCCCCTACTGTGCCACTGGCCAGATCTAAGATGACATCACCTGTGATAACCCGATGTTTACGTGCCGGTGTTTATGACATCTCGATGTTGCTTCGAGTCGATCACGTGTTGTTCCGTTTCCAAAGGGCAAAATGTTTGTAGCTAGTTCCACTTAGAGTCATGTCGCCCGGCATTTGAAGCTGTTCTGTTTTTCTTTCATTTTATATGCCACCTCCAGTCATTTTCTGTCACTTCTATAGCATTTTACGTGGCAAAATAGGTATAAAAGTTTGTTTACCACTGGAAGGGGATGATTCCATCGAATCGTT